TCAAAGGGTTGCGGCCCTGACCCTCGTCTTGCCTCCCGCCAAAAGGAGCGGCCTTTTGAGCCGCTCTTTCAGGGGTGGCAAAGAGCCAGCCTCTGAGCCGCTTCAGTGGCTCTTTTGTGCCCTTTTGGTGCAGTGTGTATGCACACTGCACCAAGCGGGTGCCCTGATGCTGCGTGGCATGAGGACAGGCACATGGCATCAGGGCAAAGTTAGGACAAATAAGACATCCCCTGAAAATAAACCATAGTGTGTCTTCCTGAGGCCAAATATAAGACAGTATCTTATTTTCAGGGAAACATGGTAGGAAACAGGACAGGAATCACTGTGCATCATGAGTGGAGTAAAGAGTGTGCAAGCCCAGATCATGCTCCTTGGCAGCTTATTTTCACTGGGCTAAACCCATGATTTGGCATGATGTTTGAACCAGTCTTTTATTGTAAGGCTGCTTTCCTTTTCCAGCAGGGCACATGGCATGCAAAAATACAACACCATGTTTCAGCACCAAAAAAAGATCCACCCTACTGGCATGCCAAATTTCCATTAGATTTGTCATTATGATGCAAGTTATAAAGAAGACAAATATGTCAGGTGTCTGCCAAAGACAAGAAAAGAGTAACTTAACTTCAATAATTGAGAAGATGACTGGCCATATGCTCCATTTATATAAATTGACTGCTTGCCAGTTACTTCAGTGGAACAGAGCCAGTTTCCACATGCACTTTCAACTAGAATTTGGCATAACTCTTCTGCTATAAAGAATTAAGAATGGTCAGAGCTGTTTCTAGTCTTGTTTTTTTCTTTTTAAAAAGCTCTATCCAATGAGCTACTGTGGTGGCAAGCAAGTCTGTCAGATCAGACACCAAGGCCAGACAGTATAATCCCTAACACTACACCAGTCTTGTGCATGAACCCAGGGTTTTTCACACACTCTGAGATCATGTGGAGTAGGCGGGCAACTGCCCTCATGGCAAAACACAGCAGAGGGTAGCCACACAAAAAGCTGTTGTGGAAATCTAGAATAATTCAGACTGATGAAAAGACATGCACCATCCTAAAGTCAGCCCAATTTCATGCCCCTGACATACTATAATATATCATTTTGTAATATGGTATGGCTGCAAATGTTAGGTGGTGGAGCAAACACCAATCTGTCTAAGAGAATTTGCTAAGCTGGTGAAAGCCATTTTTTTCAGTGATTTCATTTTGTCATGGTAGGGAGATGTTAACTGCCATAGATCTAAGAAATCCTCACTTTAAACATAAGATAATGGGAAATGGGAAAGTAATGGAAAATAAACTTGTAAACTGAAAGTGTTTAAACATGAAGCTTCATGAGCTCTCCTTTTTTTTCAAGGTCTTGGGAGATTATAAATATAATTTCTGAATAATCTTTTAGGGCCTGTGTAAATACACATGTAGCACAAATGGTTTAGCTGGAATCCAGAACCAAAGGTTGTAAATTAACTTTAAAAAAAGTAATTATGTAACTCATTATAGAACTCCCCAAATGAACTTGTTGCTGTTAATATTGAAGAAAATCTAGTTAAGCATGGTACGGCTTCATTTCTGGGTTTTGTTTTTTTCAGTTCCTTGGGGGAATTAATCTGAAAAGGTAAGACAATGGCCTGAATTTTTTCTTGGGGGTGGAATCTCTTCAAATTATTCTCTAAAGCAGCCATGTCCCTTCCTCAAAGTAACAAGAAAAAGTAACAAGAACATGTTAATCCATACAAAAAGAAAAAGTAACAACACCACCAACTATTACTCTTTCTGAAATAGGATAACCATTGTGCCTTTGTTACTCCAAAAAGTAACATGTTGGACATAATTCCATTACTCAAGCTCTGCCTGGAACATTTCATCAACCTTGACAATCAAGGTACCGTAAATAGTTCTTTACACATGAATACACTGACAGTCTTAGGAGTTTCAGGCAGATGAGATTTGGATAATCTCATATAGAAATTAAATGTGCAGCAACACTAGAAAACAAGAGACCCATCTCCACATTCATAAAGAAGAGCAGTTCATTGCTATCAGGTTTGTGACTCCCTCTGGTATGGACACTGCTTTTTATGGAAATTCATCCATACGTTTGGCACTCTCACAGCACAATCCAATGCATGTTTGCTAAATCCCATTGTATCCAAAGAGGTTTACTCCCAGATTATTGTGTGTAGTGATGGTCCCTTAAATTCCTGGCTTTCCCACCTAATCTTTTTCTGACGTACTGCAACCAGCTATCACTATTGCTCTCTCTACTCTTAAGCTCCAGCTGCCATTAGAAACATAGCAAATTAAAAGGTGTTACTTTTTCTTTCTTTTTTCTTTAAGTAGAGGATGAGAATGGAGCCTTAGGTCTAAACTGTGTTGTTGCTATGTCATCAAGTTGTTTCTAATTTATGGTGACACTAACATGAACCTATCATGGAGTTTTTTGGGTTTGAGAGTGTGTGATTCACTGTCACCCAGTGGGCTTCCAGGACTGGCGCAGGACATTAAACCCTGGTCTCCAGGGTCACAGACCAGTACACAAATGACTACACTATGCTGGCTCTCTAGCCAATTGCCAATTCTGACTAAAGCAACCCCACTGAATCAACAGTGGAATGGTAAATCAAGCTTTATGTAAATCCCATTGATTCAATAGGTCTCCTCTAGTTGGAATTAGTAATTAGAGGTTTTGGTTGCCTAGGCCTAATCTTCCCCTATTTATCTTTTTTTGTGTGTGTGCGCAAATGAAATAACACTGGGAGATAGGATTATTATTATTATTATTATTATTATTATTATTATTATTATTATCTGTTCAGAATATTTAGTCTTAACTGTTCATCTCATTTTTCATTTGATTTTTACCAACACACATTTATCTTGCAAAAATAAGTAGGAAGTGTTCCTGTTGTCTCAACACAGTTTCAGAGTTTCAAAATGAAAAGTATGTAAGATATGAAGCTATGTGTATATTTTCCCTCTTTAAAAACTTCATCATCATCATCATCAACAACAACAACAACAATCCAAAACAAGCAGCTATGGAAGACTCTCATCTTTGGTGTAGACCTAGCAGGGTGGGATGGCTGGGCTGCAACCATTTTCCCCTCTCAAACCACCAGATATGGGAATCATATTCACTCCTATGTAGGAAGAAAAGCTGCTAGATAGAAGAGGTGAGGAAAAAAAGTTGTGGGGCAGAGAAGTGGGCAACTTCAATCTCTCTCTCTCTCTCTCTCTCTCTCTCTCCCTTTGTTCCCAGTCTACCCTTAGTTTTTTACTCAAGACGTCTATGCAATTTTGTTTTTCAAAAAAATAAAATTACAGAGAAACATGCATGAAACATTTAGTTACAACCTCAAGACTCTGATTAAATTTCCTCTTCAGAGACGCACAAACATACAAGCCTACTGTTTTCTTAGGGAGAGTTCTGTTTCTTGCAGAATAGCTTGGAGGAATAAAGTGGTGTCAGGTTAAGAACCTAAAAGCAGGAGCTGAGGTAGCAGATATTTACAGCTCTGTAACCGATATACTGATTTTAAATGGCAAAGAAGCACATTGGATGAAACTCTAGAGGGAAAACATATACACATACAATCTGTTGTCCTATATAAATGTATGCAAAATTTCAGACATTCAAATGATGGTGAACAAACTACCCTATAAAATCTATGGAAAATTGCTAATAATTTTATAAGATTGTACAAATGGGGGAAATGTCACCTCCCCCCCAAAAAAAAACATTAAAAGCACAGCTAGGAGTAGTTAACGTTTTGTTTTGTTTATAACTCTGTGGCCATGGGGGCTAAGAGATTCTTGAAGATGCAATAATAAAAAAAAGCAACTTTCCCAAGCTGTGGTGAAAAGAGTGGTCAGAAATTACAACGCATGTTAGTACAAAGAAGAAGTAGGCCTTACATTGCTCTCATGTTGTTCTCAGGAAGAAGTGGAATTTCCAAGACTTTGGTGTTGGAGAGGATTGTTTCATGGCTGGTTGTGGAAACGGTCTTCCCAGTGATCCGGTGAACCTGGTAGAAGGCATGGGGACGCAGCAGGCGGTCGTCTGCAGTCCCAATGAACAGCTGTAGTGTGAGTGGCTCACTTTCTAAGTAACCGTGTAGCTGGCAAGAGAACAGAAAGAAGTCCTACTAAGCACGGTACACCTAAACTGCTAGGAATCTATTAAATTTTTATATGCAAGGGAGTCTAATTTAAGGAGAAAAATTTGTGACAGGTGCTAAGTGTTAAGCTTTCTCTCCCCCCCACACCACCCTACACACACAGACACACTTTTTTTTTGTAATACAATATTGAAACAATAAAAAGGTGCACTCTGAGAATGTCTCATTATTATAGAAGACCTCAGGCATTTCAGACAGACTTTGAACAGCAGTGCTTCATACATTCCAAAATTTCACATAAGAGCTCGCTATGAATAAAAGCAGGGGTGGGGTGGGTGGGTTGATAACAATGAAGTCTGTGTTTTCTCCAGAAAAGCCAAGCCAGTGGAAGCGCGAAAACCAGATCCCTATTCAAGCACTAGCAACTTGTGTAGAGTAAATGCAGAAAGAAGAGAGATGAACTAATCTTCCTCTTTGCATATGTGCAGGATGATTTTCTGAATGAGAGGACATCACATGAAGGTTCTTCACAGGATTTCAAGCCTTGGAAAATTAAGGTTCTAAATTACATGGAGAGACTCCACAGATAGAGACTTTTCTTCATTAAACCTCTCTCAATACCCGAGGTTGATGGAAATGGTGACAGAGAGGGGTGGAGCTGCCACATTTCCCCTCCTCATGTGCTTGCTCTACACAGATTAATAGCAGCTAAATAAGGGTTGTTGTTGCTGCTGTGTGTCTCCAAGTCATTTCTGACTTATGGTGACCCTAAGGTGAATCTAACATAGGGTTTTCTATTATGGGTTCCTTCAGAAGTGGTTTGCCATTGCCATTCTCTGAGGCTGAAAGAGTGTGGCATGCCCAGGGTCACCCAATCGGTTTGTATGCTCAAGCAGGGAATCAAATCCTGGTCTCCAGAGTCATAGTCTAACACACTAATCACTACACCACACTGGCTCTCATAAATAAGGCTTAGGAGCCCCTATGTTTCATCACTTTTGTTGTTATGTCTACTACTAATATCTGGAAAATAATGTTTAAAATTCTTAGGAAGCAGCATAGTATCTTTAGGTATAGTTGGCCCTCCATAGCCATGGATTCTTTATCTAGAGATTCAACCATCCACAGCTCAAAAATATATATATTCCAAAAAGCAAATCTTAATTTTGCCATTTTATATAAGGGATACCATTTTACTCTGCTATTGTATTTAGTGGGACTTGAGCACTCATGGATTTCTTGGAACCAAACTCCAGAGAATACCTAGGGCCCACTGTAGTACTTAAACAGAGAAGAGGTGGGCAAAAAATTCAATATTTTAAGTCTAGAATCCATGGCCTGACATCATTTTTGTAGGAGCCTGAGCAACCAGATTCTTTTCAGCCCCTAATTCTGAGGCCTCACTCATGATAATGAACCATATGTTTTAGGCAAATATAAGACACCTAGGCTGAAAGCTGATGGATGCCAAGAGTTTTATCTGAGCTCATGCTGTTCTGTTGGCAACTTGAAGGTAGGGGGAAGCATACAACTGGAGTTTGCATAGCAGTAATACACACGATGCTTAAACATAACAAATCAAAACTGCAGATTGGAAGAGGGAAGCAAGGGGGAAACTCCGCTAAGTAGTTCAATCTGAGCTAGCGTCTGGCTACTTCTTGGCAAGCTATGCAACTCAGGCAGAGCTTCTTGTGTGCACGCCACTAAAACTCTGCCAAAGGGAGCCTTCTGTTGCACGCAAAGGTCCATTATATCTGGCATAACTGGCACTCCTTCTCCATTTATGTTTGTGAAATGCATTTGCTAGCAAAAACATCAACACACAAACACAAGTGCTGTTAGAGGCAAATAAATAATACAGACTGATAGCTTTTTTTCCAATTGGTTTTTTTTTAAATTAAGCTAGTCTTTAGTACAAATACAAGGGGTGTGTGTGTGTGTGTAGGGAGATTTTTGGAAGTGACTCACTTAGGAGCATAGAGGCTGTTCTCATGATAGGGGGGCTTCAGAATGTACCTTCACACCCATCCCTGCCTGCCCAGAGCTCACCCTATTGCTCCTTGTTGATGAAGTTAAAACAGTGGGTGCACAGGACACAAGTGGAGGTCTGATAATGGTGGAAAATGATATAATAATTTCAGAAGTGTTTGGATGCCATTTCATTGATAAAAATCACTTGCATCCCACCTGACTTGGATGCCATAGTTGACATAGGCCCAATGGATATAACTTTAACCTCTGCTTGTCAAGTTACAATTGATACTTTTGCATTTGTACAATGGACAGTTTGTAACAGAACCGTGGATTGGGCCCAGCATCATCTGGACTACTCACCAGGAGGATGGGGGATGACGTTTTATTGGGCCTATCTGGACAACCCCAGAGATGGTTGCACTGTATTTGCTCCTCTGACTTTCCATTTAAATTCAGATAGTAAAATACAGCTGGGATAGTTCAGAAGGCTGCAGAAGACCAAAGGTCACATTGCTGACCATTTCAAGAAATGTTTTTGTCAAAGATGAACTATTAAATAGTGTTGCGTGTAGATAAATATTTTTTAAGGTTAATCAAATATGAGCCAAGTGAGTGTTAGCTTTTTTGCTGTTGAAAGAGTGTTTTTTTTCCCTTCTTCTTCAAATAGTGGAAAGTGTGATAATCTGGAGTGGGGAGATTCCTGTGTAAAAGCATCAGGCCCTCTAAATGAAACACTACATCAGGAATATCCATCCATCTCAGGACTAATGCAAACCAAATGTGTTGAGGATACCATACAAATATGGGAGGAGACTGTAATACTGTTCATTACTTCACCCCTCTTCTAGTTAAAAAAAACATGGAACTGATCAAAACATGGCACTAAGGAGCTTTCTTTTGACATGGCAATTTCCTTAGAATGTACATCTTTGTTTACCATATATACTTGACTATAAGTTGATCTCATGTATAAGTCTAGGGCAGGGTTTGGGGCCAAAATTACGGATTTTGATATGATGCATGGATAAGTTGAGGGTAAAAATTATGGGCATGTAACAAAGAATCCAAAGGATGAAGCAAAGAAAAATGATGCCAAAGAACTTACAGCAGGCATAACTGTTTGTGCTCATACTAAAGGCTGGATGAATGAGAGAATAAAGAGGGGTCAGTGCTGCCAGGACAGATTGTGTTACTGCCTTTCAACAGAGGCTTTTTTTAAAATAAGCGTTAAAGGACATTCAGGATACAAACAGGATATCCAATCATACAATGAATTTTGTGGAATATAAGCATAGGTTATTACAGTATTAACTTTAAAAAAAAAAAAAACACCTCATACTGATCAAATTAATCCAACACACAGATTACTTACAGCAGCAATTTAAAAAAGTTTCTAGTTATTTATATCCAGTCAGTCCTGGGGGCATGTAAGAGGGTGATTTGGGCCTGTATTTTGTCTGTTATGATACATCATAATTACAGTTTTTTTTTACCTTCTATTATATTTGTTTTTAAGCAATTTGTTTGTATTCTGTAGAGATGACTTGAAGGTACATGCACACACAAGAGAGGATAAGGGTTCATTATCACACCAGTAATGGATCTATATTCATGAAATACAGCAGGATTGTTGGGAAGAGTAATAAAAAAAAAGTCACCTGGTACATGCAGAAAGCGTGAAGTTGGGAATGCAGTTTCAGCTGGTTTGCAGCTTGTTTACATTAATGTAGACAAACAAAAAACAATTGTTTTAAATGTGCCTGATTTTTTTTCTAGCAGCTTCATTTGGGGTTTGGGATGCTACATCTCTCTTGAAACAATTTGCCCATCAACAGTTAAGGGACTTGTGTCTTATCTGCAAGCAGGCATTAACTTATTATGGCAAAGACTAAATGCATTATTATTTTAATTAACTCTTGCAAACCTCTTAGAACTTGGTGTCCACCCAACTGTAACATGGGTATGGGATAAAAGGAGACCTTGGATCAATGATTTCCTCCAGACGAGTTCCATGGTCTACGTATGTTCATTCATCTTAAGTTTCTAAAAGCTACAAGTATTTGAGAAGGGAAAAAAGTGCTGAGACTATGATTATACACTGATAGTAACACATTTCCTCTAATTTGCTGTCTGGGGGAGTTAAGGGTTATGCTTTTGGGATGCAACATTTATATTTTCTGGTAAAGGTTGACAGGATTGTGAAAGGAACAGGTAAAAGAACTTTATGCTGAGAGTTATGCCAGTTTCGCATTTCGAAAAGGACTGTGTGGTGATAACATTCTTTCACCATCACCTGGCTTCACTTCATTTTGCAGTCTATGCTGTAGCACAAACGAATCTGAAGAACACCATTAAATCACTTGTTAATAGCAGCCACCTTACTCTGTCACATAAAGTGGAAGGACTCTTACAATCTGAAGAGAAGCACTGTCTAGGGCTCAGTTCCAAGGTGATACTATCAACATTAAGATAGGCAATTTGGCTGTGGTCCTGATTTTAACATCTGTAGAGCAACAACAGAGACTTTGGTTGTTTCAACTTGCATTTTATGACTGTCAAGTGCGGTCCAATCTGTCTGTTTCTGCCACATTTATAATATGCTTCCTAACCTGAGGCTTTAGTATCTTTCTGTAATGCATCCGAAGCAGTGGGTTTCTATCCACAGAAGCTCTTGCTAAAATAAAAACCAGGTAGTCTTAAAGGTGCTGCCACATTTCTTTTTTAGCCTCTCCCTCCCTTCTTCCTTTTCATACTTATTTCCTAGGTTGCCCTCATCAGCACAATACTGTGACAATCTGAAGTGATGGGGTCTTTTTCGGGGATCGGCATGGTGCCGCCGTGGCCTTTGGTTCACTGTTCCACCTTCCACATACTGGGAAAATCTTACATACCATACTCCAGCCATAACACATGGCAGGGCTTTCCCTGTCAACACCTGGACAGTGCTACCCTGTTCTGGGGTAGTTCTACCTCCCACAACTGGAGCAAAGGGACAAGACGGAGTATTGCATCAGCAAAGCAGTCTAGCATGCAGTCCCGTGCTCTCCCATTGCCTCTGCATTACATAGCAGAATACTTCTGTCTTCAAAATGCTCACATTCTTGCCTTTAAAAAGTGCTGCAATTTATGAGGACATATTTCTCAGACATTTGTTGCCACACTTCCTCTCCTCCTGTCTCATTCTGAATTTGAGAAAAAAGATCTTGCAATTCTTTAGGCTACTTATTCAAGCCAGATGTTTGCTGTCAAATGAATTACAGTATGTGCTTAGCCACCCACTTCTGTCAGGTCCACAAGTGTGTGTGTGTGTGTGTGTGTGTGTGTGTGTGTGTGGGAATGTGTGATCTGCATACAGCATCAAACACCAAACTCTAATTTTATCTGTTTAAGATGAGCAATTCTTACTACAAGCACGTAAACATTTGTTCATGGCATTGGGCAGAAACAAGAGTGGGAAAACCCACAGGTTACATATGAAAATGAAGAGGTCACTAACCGAAAACTGTCATTCTCTTTTTAATTCTGTCCATAGTATTGTGTGATTTACTTTTTATACGTGTATCACATAACCCCTGCAGTGCCATCCACAGCAATAAAGCATGGCATGCAAGGACTAACATTTTAAGAGGACATATTTAGCGCTCACCTAATTTTAGATCATGCACCTATTTTCCCTACAACAGATGTAGCTGGACTACATTTTAAAATAGGCAGCAGTTGCCCTCAGAATGGGTTCACTTTTGCTCTGAAAGGACTACTCTAAAAAATTACAGTCTGTGCCTTGCTAAATTTTTAAAGTTGTTTTCCTGCCATGTTTGGTAGTATTTTCATGTAGATTAAACAAGAGAAAAGAGCAGCCTCACCAAAGACATGAAGGTAAAGGAATGAATATACGCTCGTCCCTCCACATTTGCTGGGTTTAGGGGCACAGGACCCCTGTGAATGTGGAAAAACTGCAAATAACAAAAACACTATGTTTTTAC